TTCTGTGATAATATGGCATGGTTACCATGGTTTGGTATGGTTGCATGGAATAGTTACATGTTTACTTAATGTAAATAAAATAGTCGTACAGTATACAAAAAAAAACGGACCACCCAGAATAACTTTTGGTCTAATGATCGGATCTTCACGTTTGTTTTTACATTGTGTTTACAAGGAATAAAACAGAATTAGTAGGTCACTGGGCCCATGTCGAAGACTTCGTGGGTTCGACCCTCGCCGGCCGAAAACTCCCTAAATGGTGACTGATGTACTTTAAATCTGTTGAGTCGCAAAGTTCTCCATGTTCCCATAACAAATCAATACCTCTGGGGGTACTGATCGAGGAGTTTCCTTTCCTCTGGATTGGTTCAAAATTACAAGGATACGAAGTTGAACATTACTAATCGTAAACCCAAAATTGAGTCGGCTGTTCTACGATGGATATAAAATAATGTTCGTGTAAAATATTTTTTTCCAAGAAATCGTGATTTTGTGAATCATTTAAGCAGTTTTCAGAAGCAACTTACTGTATTTTCAATTGATTTACTCTTTAAAATTAATTTTATTTCCTATTGAAAGGTTTACGCGGCATTTATAAATTGTATATTAAAACCAACACCATTTCTCTTTTATAACCATAAACAATATTAAACCCCTTTTAAAAATGATCTTCGTTTACCATTCTGAATTAATCCATTATAAATTATTTCTAAAGATCGAAAGTGCCGAGTGCTTCGTGGACAGACCACATACACTCCAAGCAGTATTAATAATGTTGAAGGACAACTCAGCATTAATGAATATAAATTTGGAGACACTCGGTTCTCGGAGCATTAAAATGGATTTTCGAGAATATCGTCTGCGTGGATGTGGAAATAAGAATTCTGCTTGTGCTATCCTTCGTCTTGGCTGTTAATCTATTCTGATATGACATAAAATTTAATGGCGCGAAGATAATAGCTTGATGGAATCTCGAATCATTTTTGATGATGAATTTTTAATGATCCAGAAAGAATTGGTTTTCGGAATTTACATACCAAGCTGAGAGTTATTCAGTTTTCCTGTTTGTTTTCTAACGCTTTTTATGCATTTGTGTTTGTTCGAAGGGTAAATTACTTAAAATTGCGTTTCACAGATAACTAGTTTTCTTGGACATAGAATGAGGCTGAAGTGCAAATTGCTTATCATAATTTAAATTGCATTGCAGAAACGATATCGAGTTTTACTTCTATTTGTTTTTCTTCTTCCTTCGGACGTTGGAAGTTAATGTATGTTGAATGAAACGTACGTTTTAGTAAAGGGGTAATTAAGGATGTATTTATCATCATTTTACAATAATTACCTTTTTAAAACAGTTAAATTACAGCTGTTATTACCAAAACTGAATGTATCTGAATGAAATGAAATTTTAAACACGCACAGAACTTTTTTTTTCATACAGCAGCTGAGTTGGAAAAAAATGTCTATAGTCATTTAATAAACAAATGTGAAGTCTGTCTACTTCAAGATCATTTCTATTATTAAACTTTACTTCGTTTTAACGTACATTCCGAAGTTAAAGCAATGAAAGAGTATTGATTAGATATAAATATGCAATTATTGGTAAAAAAATTCCTAGTTCCACGGAACTATATGGTTCAGCGGAACACCTTTTGAGAGCCGCTGGCTTGGACCATTGAGTTTTCGTTGGCATGATCGCCGATCTTGCTAGCATTTGTGGAGAACAGATGATGAGTTTTTTTTAAAAAAAAAATTATGTTAGAACCCGTTACCTAATTCCGAAAAAACAAAAACCAATACGAGAATTGCTAAGCAAAAAAAATTTCAAAAAAGATACTACTTTAAAATTTTTGGGTATGAAATGTGTCATAAACGCATCTGCTATTAAAGTTAAAAAGGGTTTTAAAATGTATATCAAATTGTTTACAAATATCTCCATTTAAGAGAAATCCAATGCCGTACAACACAAATGCGTTGAAAGTATATTAACACTTTCAAATATTCAAAATTATCTCTAAATTAATAATTATTTTGTGACCATTATGTTTTTCTATTAAATGAAAGCTTCTTTTATAAATGAACACAACTGGGTTTATCTCATAAATGATGGATATATATATTCTAAAAAATATTCAAGTTATATTTAGATTGTTATTGTGCTTGGTTTTATTACACGATTTTTTCGTGTTATTTCCATATGGAAGAAAATTTCATCAAATATATTCGACAAATCATATGGAAGTTTTAAATATATCTTTAACCATCATTTAAAGGTTTGGAAGGAAAATCGCTTGAAAATAAACCAAAAATATGGAGTCAAATATTTTATTTTCTCGCGTGGGGCCAAAAGGATGTGATATATGTTCAATAAAAATATCATCTACTAAACTGAACGTGAATTTTTCAGCGAGGCTATATTATTTACTACCGATAGTTCCATGCATATTGCATCGGCAGTAAACCTCTCCCAGAATCACTTAGAATGAATAAAACTCACGCCTTAAAATGGAGCACATTTGTTGGGAGAATTTCCAGTTCTTTCCTTGTGCCCGGATTTAATCAAATGAAATACAATGACGGCGAATGCAATTTTCGAAAATCTCCCAAAATGCAAATTCCCGGAGACATCATCTTATTTGCATTTATCCCAAACAATGTCCGTGGATTTAAACCTCAATACATCAAGAGAATTCTAGTTATTAAAGAAGAATGGGAAATATTTTAATGCTGGATTTTTCCTGCAATGGCGTAGATGCCGAGAGGTAAAAATTATGCCTTTGTTCCATTTTTATTTCTTACAAGTACAAAGGCTTAAATCGAGCGACTTTTCGAATAATTATTATAATCTGTTTCGTTTTTGACTTGAGAGTCAAAATTTGATGCTTGGAATTTATTCAAGCTGTTCTTAATTATGTTTCAAAACATTTAAATGACAAAACGCAGTATTTACACAGGAAGAGTTTATTTTAAAATTACGCGTTTCGTTCATTTTCTTCTTCAGTTGCATTTGATTTTAAATCGATTTTTCTCTCTCTTTAATTCATCCGAAACAATTATCTTAAATTAATAAGGAAACAATAGAAACTGACTTGGAAATATAGAAATTATTAGAATATTAAATGATTTGTAAATTTTCGTGCCTTATTTTACATCGTATTAACTCTTTGACGCAGCGTTTTGATTAAACCTATTTTTCATACTTTTTTATCGGGGATTTGTTTAGAAGAAATTTTGGTTCGTTAACGGACCCTTCACAAAATATCTTTTCATGAAAACGGACCCTTCACAAATTTGTTTATCTTCATTATTGTTTTGTTAATCGAATAAACCCTTCCCAGGAGGAAAAGAAGAAAGACGGATGTAAACGAACTAAGTTTTGTCTTCGGCATATGCTTCTTCCATTATTCGTCCGAAATGAATATTCTGCGTTCAGCAGTATAGGCTAAATACCAAATGTTTGTATATTGCATCTCTAATTCAGAAGCAGCAATTGCTGTTTACTTTTGAAAATGCAATTTTTTAATTATAATTCTGCAGCGTAGAGCATAATCTTGTATCTATTTACAATTTAAAAACTCCTTCAAAAAGTGTTTTTGCAATAACAGGACCCTATTCGCACACATTCACAAAAGCAGGTCCCTAGTTGAAAGAATGTGACTTAACGTTTATTTTATATTCACAAATTACGAGTCATTTTTTCCACAATTTTACAAAAACAGGACCTTTCACAAAATGTCTAGAGACAGACCCCTGGTTTTTCGTGGTTTGGCCTGGATCCGTTAGTTCCTGTGTGGTTGGAAACATGAACTCTGAGGTGTATGTGGACATTTTGGACAATGCTGCGCTCCCATCTCTATGGCAATAATTTCGGGGAAGGCCCATTGTCTCTTCCAGCAGGATATCTGTTCCATTCACATATCGAGGCTTGCACAGGCATGGTTTGAGGAAATGGATGTTCAAAAACTGGACTTTCCTTCTCAGAGTCCCGATCTAAATCCCATAGAACACCTTTGGGACGAATTAGAACACTGATTACGTAGCCAAATCGACCCTCTTCACTACAAGCACTCACTTCAACTGTGATGGAAGTCAATTTCTATGACCACCTATCAAAAACTGGTGGAAAGTCTTCCTAGACGTGTGCAGGCTGTCATTGGTGTTAAAGAGGGACCAACATCATATTAATATGTGCCTCACGACGCTGTGCCTCCATACCACTGGATGTACCCTCCCAAATCTTTTCCCCATCCCTTCCATCAATCTTATGTCACTCCCTTGCCTCTATCATACCCTGCACCACCGCCCTAGAAATCGACCTTTTTAAACTACTAATATCCCGTTAAGAATAATATTCAACAGACCCTAACCAACTTACTTTCTTATTTAAAATTAAGAATGAATTAAGAAGTATTTTGATTTCATACCCCTGTCATAAAAAGTTGGTACTTGAGCATTTCTCTTTTTTTAATAAACGGCTATAAAATTTCAAGCACAATGTAAATATAAATTTTAGCCCCTCTCCCCCATTCTTACCAATAAAACAAGTAACTTAACTACTACGGTCCATCCATCAATCCAAATGTCCCCTCTACACGCTAACCTACCTGTATCCGTTCCCGTAACCTACTCTTCTCTTAACAAACCAAGCCATTATTACTCACAGAACAAAGGCATCCAATCTGGTATCTTACTGTGACAGGCTCTTTTAATCATCATTTGCCACGAACACGAGAACCCTGTTTGCTGGAATACGAGAGGCCGGGGATAATTTATTTACATTAACCGGCGGAACGCGTTTACGGTGGACTCAGTTTATTTTCGAATTATAACGCCTTTTGCTCTCCACAAAAGAGATCGCTGCCAAATGAAGCCATTTTTCAACAACTTCTGACAGTCCCTTTGCCGTGTACACATTATGAAACTTAGCTGTGGGCCCTTTCGTGATTAAGTAGTAACGCCCGCCACTGTAGTTTTTGAAATCTAACGGGCTTTATTTAATGATGAATGAGGTATAAATTAAGAAATCGTGACATTTTGTTCTGATTCGGAAATGATATCAGTTTGATATTTCTGGTAAAAATAGAGCGTTGTATTTTGATGCAGGAGAAATGCGTTTTCTGTCGTTATTTGTTTCCTTTAAAGGTTAGTTTGTCGAAATCGCTGATGCTTTTTCTTTTCGTCATTTAACTATCATTGGTTATAAATTTTTTGATTGAGTTCTCTGTTTTAAATATTCATGGGTTATTTCAGACTTCTTGTAAAGGTTCTGATTTTGTGAAATTATGTTTAAAAAATATTTTTAAAAAATCCTCTCCTAATTTTTGTGAATTTTGAATAATGATTTTGTGAAAATCGGAAAAACAGGAAGTTGAATCAATTTTACTAACCATAGTTTTAACTTGATGAAATGAACCGAATGGGCAGGACACGGAGTGCGTGGCTTAGCCATACTATAGCAATCACAGGAGCAATGAAAACAATTGGAGAAAATTTTGTTTAATTCATCTATATTGAATAATATTCTCTAAATAAATTTGATGAAACAAATCCGTTAAATTTTCCTAAAAGGTTTAAAGAGTGAATAAATATAAAAGTTTCGTGCTTAATCTTTTATTATTCATTTAATATTTAAACTGCTTATGGTAAAAGTATATCACTAGAAGAAAATCATTCTGATTTCGAAAATAAAATACATCAAATGTATTACACTTGTAACTAATTCATATTTCTTCTACAGTCCGTATCCAAATTATTAGACGCACTATAGGGTTCTATGTAACGTCTTAATTATCAGGTGATACTATACAGCTTTATTGTTTTCACGCGACTGAAACCGGTTTGCACTTGTTTGCGTTCGTGTATCAATAGGTAAAATTAGGTGATTGTGATGATGCTATCGAATTACACTCAAGTTTATAAAATAAAGTATGTAAAATAAATTCTACGATTGCATAAATTCAACGATATATTATATAAATATAGAATATTTATTATATCCGGTATTATATTATTGTAATGTAATAATTAGATTAAATTATTAGACGCACTGTAGTGTTTTAATAAATACATGCTTTGCACGAGTTTAAATGCAATACTTTTATATTTAAACCTACATGTAATGTGTTTTTATTCAGGAGATTTTTTATATATTTCCTGTTTGAATTTAATTTTAACGTATTGCATTACAATGTTAACCAATTGATACACGAACGTAAGAAAGTGCAAACCGGTTTCAGCCACCTAAAAACGATAAAGCTGTATATTATCACTTGATAATTAAGATTTTACATAGAATCTTATAGTGCGTCTAATAATTTGAACAGTGAATAAGTTAGAAGTTGAGTGTGGTCAGTGTGGATACGTCCATACTAGTGCATGTGTTTCACTGGCGCAGCGAACACATGTGTTTGTTTATGCCTAATGCTGGTTATTTGAAAGCATACAAAGCAAAAGTTAATATCAAAATAGGCAACAACAACAAAACAAATACCGTATACAGGGGTCTGTCCAGACATTTTGTGAAAGGTCCGTTTTTCGTGAAATTGTTAAAAAATTACTCACATTCGTTCAACCAGGGTCCGCTTTTATGAATTTGTGCAAATAGGGTCCGTCATTGCAAAAAAAAAAAAAACTTTTTCAAGGAATTTTTAAATTGTAAAGACATACAAGATTATGCTCAACACTGTAAAATTATAATTAAAAAAATTAAATTTTGAAAAATAAACAACAATTGCTGCTTCTAAATTAGAGGTGCAACATACAAATATTTGGTATTTAGCCTACACTGCTGAAAGCAGAATATTCATTTCGGACGAATAATGGAAGAANGTCTGTGTGTCGCTTAAGATGATTTTCAACGCTTTTTCCAGGACATGGAGGGGAACTAAAATAACAAAGATTACAAAATCTTTTTAGTAAAATAGTAAATATTTTCAACCTTTAAAGTAATGTGAATATTTTTTTTTAATAATTGAAGAACTTCTGTATTTTTAGGGGAAATTGGAGGATCTTACTTTTGAGATGTCTCTCGTATTAATATGTTTCTTTCTTATCACAGGCACTAAGACAAGAGAACGTGGTATTATAGCTTCTCCTCTCAATGGTGGTAAACCTTGCCCCCACCTGCATGAAGTGGACTTGTGTTTTAAAGAAGACATCCTAGAATGGCATTACGGGGAATGGAAAGAATGTGTAATCGATAATCCTCGAAAAACATGTGGGGACGGAAAAAGAATGAGAGACAAAACTTGTTTTAAGCTTGGAGGAGTAAGTATCAATTTCTTTCTCATTTCTAATTAAATCAATCCAATTAACATCAATCCAATTAAATTTTTCCAATTTTCTTGAAAACGAAACGGCATACAAATACGAACAGTGCATTTAAGAAACGGAAAAAGACGCCGTGCTGATTTTTCATTTAAAAATAACTTTTGTTACTGAAATTATTTAAAAAAATAATTAATTTAAAAAAATAGTTTCAGTTCATTTACAGTTAAAGGAAAAAAAGTCATTCTGTTTGTTTATTCTTTATCTGTTACGTTAGTTATTCTGTACTCAGTTTGTTATGTTCTTACCAATATCGTGTTCTTACTCGTGAATCTAATTATATTATTAATTTGGAAGCACATAGCAGTTTTTATATGGGTTTGCAATATATAAGAGAATTTTGTATCACGTGCAGCCATTTCGTTGAAAAATGGATGCTGTCAAATATCGTTACATATTTGCTTATATGGTTGCCATTAAACGTATTTATAACATGTTTGCACATATGGTTGCTTTTAAGTTGTCAAGCAAATGTGCTGTAAACAGAAGAAGCTAATGTGTTAGCACATCAATTTCTTAAGAATTTTTCTGTTTAATCTGCTGTAGTTTTTCTTTTTATCCATGGTATTTCATATAAAGTTTAAAACCTTTGGAATATTGTAAAAATAAATAGATATATGCTTTTATTTTTTCCACTATAAATTTGCCTAGAAAAACAAGAAAAAAAATTTCATTCACACAATAATGTTCACCACTTTCAATTAAAACGACTTGACTTATACATTATTTGCGTACATTTCAATTACTAGTTTTTAGTCCTAATCTTGAAAATTAAAAAGACATTTTTTCAATTCACTATTTCGAATTGCACTAAAAAAGGTCGGTATACTCACATCACTCTCACTTATTATTACTTACTTATTATTATTATTATTACTCACTATTATTTATTTATTATTACTTATTATTTACTTATTATTACTCACTTACTCATTTTTCATGAAGATGTTTCCAAATGTAACTACTATAATGTTTATGTATTGATTTGTAGAAACTGCTCTACAGCTTCAATTGTGAAAGAGAAGTTGTATCGTATGATGAAGAATATTGCCGAATTTATTGTCCAAACGACTGCGTTTTGTCTGAGTGGTCCCAGTGGTCTGCATGCAGCGCACCCTGTTTCACACCTGAGTGGGATGGATGGAAATCTAAGAATCGAACACTAATTGCTGTAGCAGGCGAAGGTAATTTTCAAGTTTCATGTTTTTGGGTGTAATACAAAATTACTCCAAACTCATCCAGAAAAAAAGTGTGTTCCAACCAAATGTAGCCATCTTGAGTTTTTGCTGTAACTGAACGAAAAAAAGCTAATCTGATCAGAACATATATATAAGTCTATATCGAAGCAAATATTTTTAGGGAGTAACTCTTTTCATATTTCACCTGAAAAGAAAAAAAAACATAAAAAGGAAGATAGAAGTGCCCAATTGAAATAAAGCTATTTCTGATTATAGCTAATATACCCGCCATGTTTATGTATAACTTGAAATATTGCCTACCGTTAACATGAATATTATCCTAGGTTTCAATAATTCTTCAATTCTGCCAAAAAAAGAAACTGCTGCGTTTTGGTATTAAAAAATCCACTGAGGATACTTCTCACATTTTATTGGGGATATAGGTGAGTTAACCCTTTAATGGGCCCTTTATTTCTAGTAAAGGTAAATTACAGTATTTTTGGAATTGAAATTGTTTTAAGAACAGTAATTGGTATTAAAAAAACTCATTTAGTTTATAAAAATGCCATTTTTTGGTGGTAAATATATTTAATATGACCTATTAGGAACTTACTTTTATTTTTCTTTATTTATAAAATAAATTCCTTAAATGCTACAAACTTCAAAAGGAATTATGTATTTTATAACTTTTATGCGTTTTTTAAAAGTGACAAATGGTTACCAATTTTATTCAAACTCACTTCAAGAAAGCTGAAATTATTGAAAAATGGAAACCTAAATTAAAAGTGGTAAAAAAAAACGTGGTTTTAAGTATACTTACCACTGCCTTCAAAAGGGTTAAAAGGCTAGGCCATTCTCTTCGGCAGACGCTTCTTCCCTTATTCGTCCGAAATTATTATTCTGCGTTCAGCAGTATAGGCTAAATACCAAATATTTGTATGTTGCATCTCTAATTTAGTAGCATCAATTGTTGTTTATTTTTTAATTTTTTTAATTATAATTTTACAGTGTTGAGCATAATCTTGCTTCTCTTTACAATTTAAAAACTCCTTGGAAAAAGTTTTTTGCAATAAAAGAACATTGCACAAATTCACAAAAGCAGGACCCTGGTTGAAAGAATGTGACTTAACGTTTATTTTATATTCACAAATTACAAGTAACTTTTTCACAATTTTGCAAAAACGGACCTTTCACATGATGTCTGGGACAGACCTCTGCTGAATGTAAAAACGCCGTTAAATTTGAAAATTTCTCTTAACCTATTTTTACAGGAGGAAAATGTACGGAAAGGATGATGGAGGAGGAAATTTGTAATGATCGCCACTGCTATCCGTTCATATGGCGTGTGGAAGATTGGGGATCATGCTTACGTAAAGAGGATGTAAACATGAAGACAGTGTGTGGAGTTGGAGTCCAAAAGAGGAAGGTTTACTGCTCTAAAGGATCAAATGCCACCAAAACAGACGGAAGGTATTTATACATTATTAAGGAAATATTAATATTAGAATTATACTTTTTATTTTATTTTATAACCGTCGTTGAACAGTCGGTCCAATTTTTGTGCTTAAGACTACTAATGATAAATATTTACCCCGACCTGCCCCAATTCAGGGCATACGGGGAAATGTTTATTAAAACCAAGTAAAAACAGAAAAGAACATAAAAAGCAAAAAGTGCATAAAATGCAGGAGTCATATGCCAACAGCTGAGAGGGCCGCCATATAGTGCTTAAAGCCGACGGGCCACCCTTATACTGAGCCAAATTACAATAGTATTGAAGACCCCAACAAAGTTACAGAGTATGTGTTACAATACATAATTAGTAGTTACAAGATATAAACATCTAAAATAAAAAAAGACAATTAAAAATATGAATACAATAAAAAAATAAAAAAAACTTTCTTCTTTTTTTCCCTTTTTTTTCCTTTCCCGTCTATTTTTGTTGATAAAAACGCTAAAAGCGAATATACAAGTGAGTAAAAACATCAAGATGAATTAAAATTAGTGTTGAGGTGATACTAATTTTAATTCATCTTGATGTTTTTACTCACTACTTAAGACTACTAATGTTCTACTACGTAGCCTTGCAATTTTGAACCCAATCCAAAAAACAAGAGAACTCCTGGATCAAGTATTGGAAAAAGTTTGCCTTCGTGAAGGACTCTTTGATGGAGCTAACCCGCATTTGCGTTATATGGAGCGGACGACAACGAGAACCTCCCACGGTTAGCCTGATGGCAAGTGGACTTTAACCCATGATCCGTCTACCACTGAAGATATCTCACTTCAGCAATGTGGACGGTACAAGCCTGAAGCGGAATTCGTATCGATCAGCCATCTCTGGGACTGGAACCCGATTCATTTGAAGGTGAACGCTCTAACCATTGCGGCTCTAGAATGATACTTATCGCGATTATTTCGAGACCTTTATTATCGAGATTCCAGGTATAACGAAGAAATTTTTAATAAATGGTTGATTTATTGTTTAAAGGCCCACATTATTACCTGATGTTATAACTCTTATTTAACGAGGAACTTTTCTCAAAAATTTGTTGAGGATTTGAAATCTCCTTTTAATCATTGCTACATTTCATCGATTTAAAAAGTTCTCCTTAATATATTGTTAAGGAAAGTACACAGCTGCAATAACTAACTAATGATCTGCAAGACTCTGTATGACCCATTACAAGTATAAAAAATATAATTAACAAAAAACGAAGACCAAAATTTTAAATACAATAAATCAAAATGGAAAAGTGCTAAAAGCAGCCTAAAACCAAAATTGTCTTTATCATGCAATTTAAATAAATATGGGAGAATTTAAATAAAAACCTCATGAAATTTCAAAAATAAGCATGTCAGCAAAGACAGCAATTTTTCTGCAATCAATTGAAAACGGTGATAATATATTTCGGGCCATGTGTCTTGTATTTGTGGGACCGGAAAGTAATGTCTTTTCGGTGCATTTGATGTTTGTTATCAAGATTTTATTTTTAATCAATAATGTATTTACCCTCTTTACCAGCAACCATTTAATAACGGATAGAATAAAATGAATCGAAATTGATCGAAAAACATGAGTTGGTTTTTAACACTAACAAATATTTAATGCGCCTAAACGAACGAATATAGTTGCTTAAGTTAATAATAAAATAAAATTAATAAATAAACTCTAAGTTGCGTGAGATCAGTGTAAATAAAATTTTTAGAATAGATAGTCGTCTTTAAATGCTTAGTTAACAAGGTTGCCACTCCACAGAGAGAATCGGGAAAACCTGGAAAATACAGGGAATTTTAAAATCCCCTAAAATAACAGGGAATTTAGATTTTTTCTTTAGAAACTGGGAAAATACAGGAAATTTTTTTCTTCTTATTTTCATCTTTTATAAGAAATGGTGACCACTCAGTGCGTAATCTACGGCATATTGAAGGATGATATTCCAACTGTACTAAACTATTTCATTTACTATAGCATTATTTAAGCACGGGTCTGTTTAGAAGAAATGTGGGCCCGTTAACGGATCCTTTACAAAATATCTTTTCATAAAAACGGACCCTGCACAAAATAATTTATCTTTAAATCGAACCCTTCACAAATTTGTTTATCTTCATTATTGTTTTGTTAATCGAATAAACCCTTCCCGGGGGGAAAACCCCCGGGAAGGGTTTCCCTAAGTTTATGTTCCAAATGTAGTATTCTAAGAAAATATTTCTACTTTTACAAACATCGTGTACTCATTCTTATTAATAGTAAATCATATTTTTTTTGTAAAAAAATAATTGATCTATTTATATTTATTCATAAAATTAATTGAACATTATGTAAATAAAAAATAATTTCTGANTTTTTCACAATTTCACAAAAAACGGACCTTTCACAAAATGTCTGGACAGACCCCTGCTGATACTCATTATTACGATTATTACGAGCCCTTATTTAACGAGATTATGGGTGTAACGAAAACATTTTTAATAAATGGTTGGTTTAATACCCTACATTACTACCTGATGCTATAACTCTTATTTAACAAGGAACTTTTCTCAAAAATTGTTTTATTGAAGCTGGCTAATAAACGTATTCAGTTGTTCGAGGAAATTTCTTTTTCTTGAAATCTCCTTTTAGTTCAATTTAATGAAAAATCATAACTAATTAAACAATTATAACAATTTAAAACGTTCTCCTGTATATATATTTATATGCATTTTTAATAAATGATTGGTTTATTGTTAAAAGGCCTACATTACTACCTGATGCTATAACTCTTATTTAACAAGGAACTTTTCTCAAATATTGTTTTAGTTGTTAATTAAACTAGTATAGTTAGCCCAATATAGCTCACACAAGAGCTCAGTAATTGTGTTTCCTCTATGTTATATTATAATATGCACAGGGAAAACGCTGGGAATTTTTTTCCCTCCTGATTCTAGTGGCAACCCTTGTTAATTTTTGTTAGCTTTTATAATTTCGGCCAAATCTGTTTTAACGAGTGATTGATCTTAGCCTTTACGTTCTCGTAATATACAAGTTCAATTGTAATATTTTTTTACGTGACGTAAATTTACCTGCTCTACTGTACTAATTAGTTAAGAAGTATTTGAAGTTCCCTCGAAATTCTATTTGATTATTCTATTTTCTTCTTTTTATTAGGTGTAAAGTCATACCTAAGCCGGAAACAGAAAGGGAGTGTCACTTTCCGTGTCCTTTGGATTGCGTTGTGTCCAACTTTACAGACTGGACACCTTGTGAACCAAAATGTGAAACAGGTAAAATATGCCTCTGTTCTATATTGACAATTTCTACTTCTTAATTTTGTGCTCTTGATTAGTAATTTTTTAATATTTTATTTTTTTAAGTCCTTTATCATTTATTTACAGTCTTTTTCGAGATCTCTACTAAACATTTATGCAATCTTTATAATAGCTAAAAAATGGTAATAAATTCCTGATATTTTCGGAAATTTAAAAAAAAATCTTTGAAATGCAAAATAATTATATATTTATCTAATGACGTTAAGGTGGATAAAGAAAACAATATCTTCAATCTATTTTTTTGGCACTTACAAATACAAATAGCGACTTATAACATGCTCGGATCTGCGTCGAAACTAAACCCACATTAACAAAAGATAAGTAAAAAATATTTCGATCGTATAAGGATTGCTTAATTAAAAAGAATCGAGAATCTGTTGGACCCCCCTCAATCGGGATGTTCGCGTCATGGATCCTCAATCGCGTAACCCAGCACAGCTAGCCTCAACACTGGAATCGGCAAGGCTGGACATCTCAGTGAACACCTTTAAGTAACTAATTGACTCTCTGCCTACCCGTCTTGCAGCGGTCCGCTCAGCGAAAGGTGGTCACATTAATGTGACTGGACTGTGTATATTCTGTAGAAATAAATTAACTCATGCGTAATTTTTTTACCGGTAATATAACCGTATACAACTTTTATATTTATCAATTTTATTGCATTATTTATGAAGGTAAATTCTTAATCACATACCGAATAATTAACATAAAAAAATCTTTAAAAATTTCATTTTACAGATGGTGTTCAGAAAAGGAGACGGATAATCCTGCAGTATCCTAAATATGGAGGTAAGGCTTGTCCAGACGCACTGGAAGAAGCTAGACATTGTACTGAATCTCAACAGCCCGATTGTCTGCGGTGGACACTTGGTAGACGCTCTGAACCGTCCTATCGCTGGAATATTAGCTCATGGAGTGAATGCTTGCTTCCCGTTGACAAACAACCGTGTGGATTTGGGTTCCAAGTTAGAAGTAAGTTGTTTAACAAGAGTTGTTCAACTTAGAAAAGAACAAGCTGTCTCGCATAACTTTTCATAATTAATACGACATTTTCCCCCTTTGCTATTGTCTTTTTTTCTTAACTCTCTAGCGATTTTACAAGTAGGCAAATTTGGGTAAATGTTTCTCCTCTATATACTGTTACTCTATTAGGCCACAAGATAGAGAAATCAGGGGGAAGAATAGGGAGAAATCAGGGGATTTTATCAATCTGGATATGGCAGGAAATGTAATTAAAATTATCGAAAAAAATTTTGGAAAATGAATTAATTAGAATCTGAAAAATGAGATCTAATAACAAGTATAATAATTTTGTAATGATGCTTAAAAAAATAAGGCATAACTGAAAAATTTATCATGAAATTTATGCCGACAGTTTATAAAGTCAGAGAAATATTGGATAAAATCAGTTTAGAAAAGCACAGGAAAATAACAGAAAATTTTATTTGTTTATTTATTTTAGGGTTTGTGGACACTCTATCTTTTAAGTAGCTCCTTCCTCCAGTTATGCGATGAGTTGAAGTTATTGACTACAATGACTTGAACCTGGGTGTCATACCCCATGCTAAAGGCTAATTGCTTGATCGGATTGCAGTATCTCTTGTCTTAGGGGTCCGGGAAAGTTTACACTAGGTATAAGTGGTTGAGGAATTCGGTGAGGAGACTGCATTTGCGT